GATTTTTGATAAGAGATACAGTCAGCCCTCGCTATAGTCACACCTGCTATAATCACAACCTCAATAAAGTCACACAATTTTTTAGACCCATTTTTTTTATTATTAATTTCCCTATTTATAATCATGTTAATATAGCAATCACTATTATATATTTTTTTAAAAACCATTTTAATAATTATATATAAATTTCCCTGATTATAATCACAAATAAAAAACAATTTAATAATTATATATAGAATTGCACTCTAAAATTAGATACACAAATATAGAAGGTCCTTAATATCGGGTTTCTAAAAAAGAAAGTTTAAATACTGTCAAACATTTGACATCTTGTGATGATCTTGCTAAAGAGGTTAAAAAATGATGTAATGTTTATATAAAAATAATAGAACATCTAATTTTAAAAAATTTAACAATTTTAATATTTAGATCATGGAAACTAAAGAAAAGCAAAAAAGAACTGCTATTTCTTATAGTTTAAAAAAAGAAATCTGTTTGTTTCATCAAAAAATCTTAATAAAACCCAAAGTGATATTAAAGATAAGTTTAATTCAAAGTATCAATTAAATTTGGATAGATCTATGATATCTAAGATTTTATCTAATAAGGAAAAATAGATAAATTTTACGCCTAATGAAACCGACAACATTATTTTTCGTAAGAGTAGAGTTAAGTATCCAAGTTTAGAAAAGGCTCTTAGTATTTGGGTTAACCAAGTAATAGTATTGGGGTTATTAGTTTTAGAAGCTTTAATTTCTGAAAAGGCTCGTTATTTTGTGACGATTATGGGTATATCCGAAGAAGATATGAAATTTTCTAACAGTTGGTTAAATAGATTCAAACAAAGAAATAATTTAAAAATGCATAAAATATATGGAGAGGCCTATAATGCGCTACTTGAATTATTACCAAATATGCGAGCCGAATTAAGAACTTTAATTGCAAAGTATCGACCTAAAGATGTATTTAATGCTGATGAGACAGGGTTATTTTTTAGGATGGAACCCAATCAAACCTTATCATCTGGCCCCATTACTGAAAAAAAAAAGGTGATAAAAGTTTTGCTAATAATTTTATAATAGGATGATTTTAACACTTATAAAGAGATAAAATTCACCAGGCATGCCATTTTTTAAAAATAGCTTTATCAATTAGTATTTGGAATTAGGTTAGTATTCTAAAAACTTTTAACCTAATTCCTAATTCTAATCTTGAAGCTAAAAATAATAATAACACTAGTGAATTTCATTTTGATGATTTCTAAATAAATTTGCCAAGTTTATATTTAACATTAATTTTTTTAGGATAAAAATCGGCTAACAGTAATATTAACAGTAAATTCTATAGGTACAAAAAAACTCAAGCCTCTTGTCATTGGTAAATCTAGTAACCCACGTTGCTTTAAAAAGGTTAAGAATCATGCCGCATTACCTGTAACATATAAAGATAACGAAAAGGCATAGATGAAGTATGATATTTTTGAAAAATGGGTAAAAGATTTAAACTATAAATTTCGAGTCGAAGATAGGAAAGTCTTATTACTAGTTGATAATGCGGCATCCCATTTTAAGCGACGTGAAAAAAAGAAAAAGAACAAAACTGATAGCCATGTAAGTTATCTTAGATTATTTATTTTTTTATCTTTATATTTTTTTTTTTTAAAAAAAAAAACTTTATTAAATAAGATCTTTTATGACCAACAAAAAGAGTGGTGCAACTGACAATAAGAATTTTAAGTATAGTTGTGGTCATGGATATAGTCGTGGACGTGGACGTGGTTGTAGTCATGAACCTAATGAATATAGCTCTAGCAATAGTAAAACTGATGATACGGATATTAGTTATAGTGAAACAGATAACATGAACATTGGCGATAGTAGTTATAAGTATAGTATTTCTTATGATGTTATAATAATCGATGGCATATCTTTATTGTTATTTATACTTTTCAGATCTTTCTATTTGTGTTATCCTAAGAACAACATAAAAGGGGCTAATCCAATCTTATCTCCTTAGTTCCTATAGTTATGGTATTTCTTTTAGTCGTAATTGTAGTATTTCTCCTAGTAATGACAATTGCAATAGGTAATTAGTACTTTTCAAATTTCTCTAATTATTCAATAATTAAAATAAAAATTATTAACCTTACTTTATCTCTTATTTTCTAGCCGTGGTCGTGATAATTTCATTTCTCTTGATAACAGGTAATCTAGATTTTCGTTCTAAGGGGAAAATGCTAAAGGCACTTACTGATCTTTATTTTCTAAACCATGGTATGTCTTCTGATGATGACGATAGGTAATTGACTTTCCAAACTATTTATCTATTTTAAACTAATTGAATGAATTATAAAAATATTTATAGTATTAGTCTAACTTTATTTTCTTATTTCTAGCTCTGGTCCCAGCTGTGATCATGATTGAAATATTTCTCCTGATAACAGCAATAAGTAATTAATGCTTTTTTTTAATCAAATTTGATCTAAAAAAAAGGTAGATTATAAAAGACACTTACTAACCTGACTTGTTTCTTATTTACTAGTCCTGGTTATAACTATGGTCATATCCATAGTATGTCTCCTGAAAATAATAGTAGTAATGGGTAATTAATCTTTCTAGACTACATTTAAATCTGACGAAAAAAAAATTATAAAAAGTATTTACTGTACTAACCTAACTCATTTTTTATTTTCTAGCTTTGGTCATAGCCATGACATGTCTCCCAAGAATAAGGATAGCAATAGGTAATTTAATACTTTTCAACTATCTAAATTTAGCCTAAGAGAAAAGTGTAAAAGTATTTATTAATCTGACTTCATTTATTTTTTACTAGTTATAGTTGTGGTTGTGGTCATGGCCATGGTCATAGCCGTGACCATGGCCATGGTCATGGTTTATCTTCCGAAAATGATAATAGTAATAGGTAATTTATTTTTTATTTTTCTAGTCTATTTCATCAAATTTAGTCAAAAAAAAAAAAATAAAAATTAAAATAAAAAAGAGAATTGAAGATATTTATTGGTTCTTATTTTTTAGCCATGGTATGTCTTCTGTTAGCAATAGGTAAAGTAATATCTAATTAATCATAATTTTTTTTATTTAAATATGATATAGAAAAAGGATTCATTAGCATTATTTTTTTTCTGCTTTCTAGCCCTTGTCATAACTGTGGTAGGTCCCTTGAGAGCAACAGTAGCAATAGATAAATTAATGCCTAATTATTTTGCTTAAATGTAATTTAAAAGAAATTATAAAAGAATTTACTAACATTATTCTGTTTTATATTTTCTAGCTCTGGTTGTAGCCATAGTCACAGCCGTGGTATGTTCCTTGAAAGTAACAGTAGCAATAAGTAAATTAATACATAATTTTTTCACTTAAATTTAGTTTAAAAGAGATTATGAAAGGATTCATTAACATTATTTTGTTTTTTATTTTTTAGCTTTGGTGATCATAGCCATAGTAGGTCCCTTGAGAATAATAGTAGCAATAGGTAAATTGATACACAATTCTTTCACTTAATTTACTCTAAAAGAAATTATAATAGGATTTACTAACATTATTTGGTTTTATATTTTCTAGCTCTGGTCGTAACCGTGGTCACAGCTATGGTATGTCTCTTGAGAGTAACAGTAGCAATAGGTAAATTAATACTCAATTTTTTCACTTAAATTTAGTTTAAAAGAAATTATGAAAGGATTCACTAACATTATTCTGTTTTTTATTTTTTAGCTCTGGTCATAACCGTGATCATAGCCATAGTAGGTCCCTTGAGAATAACAGTAGCAATAGGTAAATTAATATACAATTCTTTCACTTAATTTACTCTAAAAGAAATTATAATAGAATTTACTAACATTATTCAGTTTTTTATTTTCTAGCCCTGGTTGTAACCGTGACCACAGCCATGGTATGTCTCTTGAGAGTAATAGTAGCAATAGGTAAATTAATACACTTAAATTTAGTCTAAAAGAAATTATAAAAGGATTCACTACATTATTCTGTTTTTTTTTTATTTTCTAGCCCTAGTCGTAATCATAATTATAGCCGTAGTAGGTCCCCTGATAGTAATAGCAGCAATAGGTAAATTAATGTCATGGCTGAAGCTTGAAACAGTTGAAGCTTTAAATCAGGGATCTTGATTTAGAAATATAAACCTTACCAAAAATCACTTATCTTTTATTATTAAAAAAAAGCTAAAAAAATGCATCCCAAAAATTTTTGAAAATTTTATATTAAAATAATTAAAATTTCAAGCTTCAGCCATTTCAAGCTTCAGCTGTAACAATTAATACACAATTCTTTTACTTAATTTAGTCTAAAAGAAATTATAAAAGAATTTACTAATATTATTCTGTTTTCTACTTCTAGCCCTGGTCGTAATCGTAGTCACAGTCATGGTATATTCCTTAAGAGTAACAGTAGCAATAGGTAAATTGATACCCAATTCTTTCAATTAAATTTAGTTTAAAAGAAATTATAAAAGATTCACTAATATTATTTTGTTTTCTACTTTATAGCCCTAGTTGTAATCATGGTCACAGTCATGATATATCTCCCAAGAGTAACCACAGCAATAGATAAATTAATATCTAATTATTTTACTTAAATTTAATTTACTAATCTTATTTCTTTTTTTTTTTAGCCCTGGTTATAGCCATGATATTTTTCTTGAAAATAATAATAGTAATAGGTAATTAATAATTTCTAAATCATTTAAGCCTATTCCAAGAGAAAATATAAAGGCATTTACTAACTCTTTTTTTTATTTTCTAGTCCTGGTTGTGAATTCCCTGATAATAGTACTAGGTGATTAATACTTTTTTAGATTAATTTAGTTTATAATAATGGTATAAAAAAAAATTACTAAGCTAATTTATGTTTTATTTTATTTAGTCATGGTTATAAATATGGTTTCTTAGATAGTAATAATAATAGCAGGTTTTGTAATCAAAATTAAATATTAAGATTATAATGTTAGCAAATTATTTAGCCATGAAAATGTCTATTATTTCAACTTTACTATTTCATCAAAAAGTAACATTATATTCATGTTTTAAAGTGTATTAAATTGGGCCATAAGAATAGTAAAAAGAATTTAATAGACTAAAAAGTTCTATGAATTGCTATACAGTGCTGATCACAATACCTCATACAAAGTATTTCTAGAATATTGGGGATATATTCTATATAAAACTTATTACATGAAAAATTATCAAGTATAATACTTCAGGTATTATACAAGTGGAGTACTCTAGTTAGCATTGTATAGTAAATTGTATTATAATTTATTATTTATAAGAACATTTTATTAAATTGTATACTGTATATTTTTTTATAAAAGCAAACACAAAAAGAAAAATACTTTAAAACTGAGCAATATTACTCTTCATTTTTTGCCACCTTATACGACGGCACATCTACAACCTATGGATGCTGGAATCATTAATAATTTTAAAGTATGCAGGATTTATATTTTTATCTGAGTTTTTTTTTTATAAACTATTTTTAACAATGATTATTTTATAGCTGAAATATAAAAAATTATATGCCCAAGAATTAATTAGAAAATTCAAATGTAATAAAGAAGATAAGTAAGTTAAATTAATAAATTAAATTAAATTGAAATTTTACTTATTAATTTTAATTATTAGAAAAATGTTTTAGAAGCAATTAATTTTATCAGAGGTGTATGGAATAGTATTACACAACAAACAATTCAAAATTGTTGGAAAAAAACAGGTATTTTGCCTGATTCTGAACTATCAATTATTGAAACGGCAATAGAAGAACAATAGAATTTAGAAGAAAATGATATAGAGAATTTATAACAGGTTTTAAGTTTAGAAACTGCTATAAATATAAGTGGGCTTGCTACTTATATTAATGATAATGAAATTGTTCCAACAGAAGAGTTTTTAGATGATAAACAAATTATTGATCTTGCAACTCAATCTGCAGAATTTGATAGTAGTTCAGGTGATGAAGAACTAGTTTTAATAAGTCATAAAGAGGGATTAAATACTTTAACTACTTTTATTGATTATTTTAAACAACAAGCAGATGCAGAATTTAAAGTTGAAAATTTGCATACTTTAAAAAAATATAATAATATTGTTAGAAAAAAATATTCAGAAAATATGAAACAAAAAACTATAGAAATTTTTTTTTAAAGCTATAGTTTTATATTAATAAATATATTTTTTGGCAATATTAAACTATATAAAATTAATTTTTAATATAAAATTTACAAATTTAAAAATTTTTTTTTATAGTTACACCCTCATTATAATCATATTTTTTTGGGGGTCCAAAGGTGTGACTATAGCGAAGGCTGACTATATATATCTACAACATATTCTAATCTCTAGTAAACTTCAAATCTTACAAACCCAAATACAATATTTCTTTAATCAAATTAAAAACCTTGATAGCTTACAAATTTATTTTTTTATCTTTAAACTATTACTACTCTCTACTATCACTAGCCTTGTTCTAGCAAATATTATAAACACTTTACAAGATTACACTTCTTTTAACAACCTTGCCTGCTTTCTTACCATTCAATTTCTTTTTCATTTTAATCAACAAATTTATACAAATATCTAGATTCCTTATTGCTCCTCCAGATCACAATCTAATCTTGCTTCTAGCAATAACAGCAATACAACTTCTGCTAATTCTATTGTATTCTCTTCAAACATAATTCCCTTATCTGTAAATCCTCTAAACTTGCCTATATCTAATCTACTTCATAAAATAGAAACCTGGTATTCTAACTAGATCAAATTCTCTTCACACTCTTTCTTTATTCTTATCTATTCTCAATCTAGATAAGCCTTGGCCACTCTAGTAGGTTTAGGCCACAAATAAGTATTTAGATTTACTTAAATATACTGTTGAACTTCCCCAAACTGATATGCATAGTGGACCAATTTTGTATCAGTCTTGAGAGGTTATCAGATTTGAAAAACATTATAAACTATTAGATTTATATAACAGAAATGGATATTGTAAACTGATTTTTTATCAGATTTGACAGGTTATCAGTTTTAAGAGGATTGATTTAGAAAGGTTTAATAGTATGTCTGAGTTCTTTTTTTTAGTTTTAGATTTAAAAAATAAAACCTTTTTAGATTATATAAAAAGTTTTTGTTAAATCTAATAAAGATAAGAGCATAGTTTTACCTTTAATATTAAAAAAAAAAAAAAACCAAATTAAAATTTTTTCTAAAAGCCTTAGTCATAATATACAATATTTTTTAAAACAAATAAGTTGCCAGATTTTCAACAAATTAAATAATATAAAAAATATAAAAAACTAATATTATCTAGTAATATATAATCTAGTATTTCTATGAATCTGAACTAAACTGAACTTTAATCAAGTTCAGATTTAGATTTAGTTCAATTATATTCAATGTTGAACTTTTAAATCAAGTTTATGTTTAGTTCAAATTTAGTATTGAGCTTTTAAATCAGATTCATGTTTAGTTCAGATTTAGTTCAAAGTTCATGAACATGTTCAAAGTTCATAAACATGTTTAGATTCAGTAGTAGTTTAGTAATAAAATATAATAAATTTTTTTTATTATCTTTAGAATTTTTAAATTTGAAGTTTTTTAAAAAAATTTTTTTCTTTTCTAAATAAACCTATTTTCAACTTCTAAAAAAAGTTGTAGAAGAATATCTTGTGATCAGAATAGCAGTTAAAATGTTAAATCAGCCTAGTAGATTGTGAGATATCTCTTAAATTGTAACACAGTCAAATTTGCCTGTGTTTTTATTAAAAAGTTTAATTTTTTTAATAAAAACTTATATATTAATTTTAGCTATATATTTT